TACTTCGTTATTTACTGAACTCATTGGAATTATTTCAAAATCAATGATATATCAAGAAATTGAAAAGAAAGAAAGAAATTAAACTGTACATAATTTATGCAATGATAAACTTTCGTTTATAAAGAATATTTGACAAAAAGGGAGTACAAACCTATTTAAAGTAACCTCATTTGACATACACCTGTTAAAAGTTTTATGACTTAAGTCAAACTAACTATTGTATTACTTAACTTAGTTCACAGCTACATTATGCCAACAATGGACAGTAATAATCTTGCGTTTCGGGTCCACAAAGCTTACAATAGCCAGTGTTACTTATAAAGGTGCTTTGGATTAAGCCGTTTAAGTCATAAAAGTTTTAACAGGTGTATGTCAAATAAGGTTAGTGTATGTTATAAAACATCTCAAAAATAGCTCATCTTACTTCAAATTTTTTAGCTTGAGTAACGTGATGTTTAGTTGCACACTTCAATACCAATGTCCCCACCAAAAACTTTCTAACGTCATTTCAAAAACTATTGAACAGCAAGTCGTAATTTAAATTATTTTAGTTTTTTTTTTAATTTAACCAATGCGATATGAATTTTCCATTACCCGGTATAATTACTGTACATACTGAAATAGAAGTATTGTCATTCCACAGGTTAGGAACACACACTGGTGTTAAATAACGTAACTCTAATATCAGTCGTCAGCCGATATAACTCATTCGGAAATTCCAAGTTTTTATGTAACTGTAGATCGTAGGTATAAGAATGACGAATTATGTTTACAATCAAAGGAACAAACCAAACCTGGCTATTAATAAAGTGATAATGACTTTAAACGTGAGTACTCTCCTCTATCGTATTTACACGTGGTTATTTGCCGGCACGGTTTACAAAATAGAAGCTACCATTTCACAACAATTTCGAAGATGAAGCTGGTTTACCATTCTAAAACTTGCTATTATGTTCATGCTGAGTCATCTAAAGCGCACGATAAACATTCTCTTATGTTATTAGATCTAATCTTTTACAAAAAACTTTATGTGTAGACCATCCTCAACTTTTAGTTGCATACTTTACGTCCACAACGAACATAATTTGAAATAATATTCCCGTATCTTTTCTATCTAAAGTATATCAAGAATAAATACACAGCCAATGAACTTATTTACATTACCCATCACAATTCCACTAAATTAGCGATCTTCCACACAAAGAAAACCAATAATTATTGCTGTTTTATATTTTACTTTTCCCTCATGTTCAGTAACACATGTTATTAGACCCCACTTACTTGCCGCAGCCTGTTGGCGGTAAAAAATAATTGGCGAGTTTTGGCGGTCCAGTCTGGCCAGACTCAACGATTCTCTTTGGTTATGGTGGTCTTTTTTGTGGTTGTATGGACGAAAGGAAACCGCGAACCCTACCTGCAGGCTGTACAAGTTTTAGCGCTTCGGAAATAACAGGAAAGAAGATATTCCGATTTTTGCTGAGCTAAAAAACTACAAATTGCAAAATCATACTTGGACGGTGTATAGACTGATGGAAATGATCAAAACGTGGCAAGTGATTTAATTACACGGAGTTACAGACAATTACAAATAAATTAATTTTAACAACATCAATAAAACTTAAAGTGACATTCATAATCCAAAGATTGATAGCTAGATGAGAAACACCATGTGTTTTCATTGAAGTGTGTTATTAACACAGAAAAGAATGAATTCACAAATTATTTACATGAACAATAAAAAAGGAGTTTATTCAAGTTCTTATATTTAGCAGTACTATTCTCAAGCAAAAAGAATAAGTTGCATGTATGTTGTAACTTAGTATATTAAAAAAAAACTCATCTATCTCGTATTGCCCGCAGGGCTATCGTTGGTGTAAGGTTGGAATTAGATTTTATATTAGATACATCAGTTTTTTAATATTGTATTACACATTAATTTGGAATAAAGGTATCTATAGTAACTTCAATAGCAATAATCATGTCCTACGAAAAACTATCAAGACCATCAATATGTTTTTTTCCAAGGAAAATACAATTTTGCATATCGTTCAAACGAATTTATTACATTCTTCGGGTGAAAATAAAAACTGGTAAGAAATCCTTCGTTTTTCAGAAGAAATTTCAAGTGATAACATGGAGGTTTGCTTTAAAATTTAAAATGTACCTTAAAATTCTTATGACGCTACCGAAATTTTTTATTCATTCGCTTCGAAAAGTGATGACAAGTTCTCCTTTACCCTGAAGTTTAATAATAATTGATACCCAATTCTAACTTTACGTAACAGGTAAAAAAATTAAATATGCACGCTAAAATTACACAACGAATTTCTCCATTTCAAAGTACATATTAAGATTCACTTAGTGATTATAGAACACTGAAAGAGATTTTTGTTTATTCATTCTTTTCACAACGTTATCAAAAAAATGTTTTAAAAATGTATTCCGAGACTTCTTTCTTATGCTTTAATAAATAATGCACCGTTTTACGTTTTTTAGGACGGCTGAGTAATGTCTCAAAAACATAATGGCATATAGATCGATGTCTTCATTCAGTAAAATATTGGATACATTTTTATTGAAAAATACGCCCCCAGTTGCAATATTGCTTCTGCTTGAACAGTTATCTCCAAAAATGAATTCGTGAGAGGTTTAACTTAATCGATTTTCTTAGTAACGAGTTATCATTTTTTCCTAAAATTCTGACAAGAACAGTTATCTCAAAATTAATATATTTATATATATATATACTACAAAGTTGGTGATGTCATTTCAAATTACTTAATCATATTTGAAATACACATTCTTAAATACCCTTTCAATTATGACTTCATAATTAATATTCTAATGTTCCTTTAATATTACAAATTTGTATAGAAATTTCATTTATCACTACCTTCACTACAATTTTTCAGACACAACTATAGTATCTCAGGAAGTTTGAGTCGATTATTATTTATTTATTTGCTCTATGCAAAAACTTATGATAAAATGCTACGTCTGGGCGCATATAATACGTTTCGCGGCAACAGTTCATGTCTCGCAATAGCATTCCTAAGAATAAATAAAAATTCTCAAGCTGAAGAATTTTACCTTTAAACCAAATTTGAAGTAGACTGCCTGCATTTTCGTTGTCCATTTCGGCAACAACTGTTATAAAATAAAATGAACAAAGTCGATTAAATTTTTACAAAAAATTAAAAAATGATAGTGGACCATTCTCAAAGACAAAGTTATCGTTTCATTTTTTTATAGACAACGTTACTGAAATTTGATACCCGCAATAATTCAGCTTTTTGCCGGCACATGAGTTACTTGAAATTAAAACCGTGGTTCGGTTAATGCACTAATACTACACAAAAAAAATAAGAAGATTATGTTACATATCTTTTATAACAGTAACTATAAATACATACACATTCCCTGGAAACGAAATTATATTATTCAAAAATTTTTTGTAATAAAAGAAAAATGTAACCTAACGGTTCTACAACTGTATTTGTTTTTAATAAATTATCTTTTGTAATGGTGTAAACTTAATATACAAGAAGACAAAACCACTTCATCATTGCAGAATCTAATATAATCAGACTAAACCGGATACGTCGAGTCAGTGTTTGACAGCAGTCTGAAATTTACAATTTTTATCTTCTTAATTAGTTTTATATTTCAGTTTTTTTTTATCTGCATACTTAATAACTTTGTTTAATTATCTGAAACAAGTTTTAAATTTGACTCAGCTTTTCTACATTTAACATTAGATCTAGATATACCGAGAGAGCAATAAAAAACACGATCAAAGACAAACTTCGAAAAATCGACGGCTGTCTTTGATCCTGTTTTTATGACCTCCTCTGTACTTTTATATTCCACCTCATTTTTGCAACACAAAATCTATTGCAGCAAATTTACTAGTAAAAGCATAATAAATCATTTGCAAAACTGACAAGTGGTCAGTCATTTTCCTTATCTTTCTTTTCTTTCCTGACTTACCGCAAACTTAACTGTCATAAAAACATCATTTTCCATCTGAATTCTGAAAGGTATTAATGTTCAGTTCAGAAAGCAATAACCGCTTCTTCTAAGTTTTTCATTGTCTCCGGATTAGAGGATTTAACTCTTCGACTTGAAGTAGTTTAGGATTTGCATTTTCTTGGAAACAAAACCAGGTAAAGTTCCAGCAAATGCAAACGCTCGTTAAGGCAAAGTGCTTAGACATTTTCTGTAATTGCTTTTTAATAATTTTTTCTTGAAAAATTCTTTCATAACTGAATAGGTTACATTTGAGTTTGAGTCAAATTACTTATAAATGCATTAATTGCGAAACATACGTTTTTTGTTTTAATGACAACAGACCTATAATTTGAACAGACCTGAACAAGTTTCATAGAAGTATTAAGTAATTTGATTTACTACTAAGGCAAGTGTACCTAAAACGTAGACTTTGATGAATCTGTGTAAAAATAATAGTATTCCTTTAATAGTTTGTTTGATTTTTGTTTTTAAATAATGTATACAATCGTAAAAATCTGTTATTCTTATCCACATCCATTTTGACATTTTTTAATTGATTGAAAAAACATGTCTTACTTTTCAAGAAACATTTCATTATGTTTAGGGACGACTCTTCACTGAGACTTGATGAATTCAGTGAACAATTTGTTACAGATCAGAAAAAAATTGTAACGAAATTTAAAAAATGAAGAAAACATGACTAAAACATGTAGTAATGTCTCTAAAACACAAAATCCTTTTCGTTTTTTATTTAGTTTACTGTTGTAATTGATTCGTTGCGTATTTTTTCAATATGCTTCTAATAATACAACTACAAAAAGTAAAAACTTGACACAACTACAATAATGACAAGAAAATGACACATAAATATAACATAATGGATTGTTGAGGAGTTGCCTCATTCCAATAAGACGAGTTTCAACAGGTTTCCCGAAATATGCGAGTTATCTTAATGACGTAATTATTTAAAATAACAAAGAGTTACGAACCATTCGATGCTCCTATATCCTTTGGCACAGCAATGCAGTCCTTTGAATTTTCCAGCAATCGCAAATTCTTCCGAACTTGGTTCTTTCGTGAACTGCATGTGAGTTTCATTGGTACTGTAAGTATTCGACGAACAATAATCCTCAATAGCAAAAACCGGGCCAAAATACAACAAGCACACGGTAAAAACACCAATTTTTAACACTGCCATTCTTCTTAACAACTGATGTAATTCTTATGATCTAATGAGTCACCGCGGTTAAATTAAACGTTTTTGTTGATGAATTTAAATATTAAAATATATCGCATATTTAATAAATATAAAATATTTATTAGCATGTGAACCGTAGATCAATGGAATAAATAAATTTAACGCGCCATTTCTGTGATGATAAATCACTGCAGTTTTTGTTAATTCACGTGTTTGCGTATAGTGAATACTACATTTGCTAAGACACTGTTCACACTACTACCGCTGCACGTGAAGTGGAGTCAGAAATGGATTTATGTTTGTTCGTTCCTCTTCGGATTTCACCTGTTCTGCTTCGGGTGAGGTCGTTGAAACGAGTGGAGGGGAAAAATCTGCACACAATGCACAATTTGACGTTGCTATCTGCTTCTGGGGGATGGATACCACTTATCATCCGATTAGATTGGATGCAAAAACAAACAGCAAAATTTTGTATAAGATGAAGGGGATGATACGAGTACGTGTTTAAACGATAATATTTAGGCAACAAAAGGATGACAAAACTGTGTGTAGTGTGTACCGAAATATACATATTTCATAATTTTTGGAAATGTAAAACTCAACAGTGCACCTGTGTAAACTAGAGACAAGGGAAATTATCAAATTATTATCATCCACTGATCCGAATTCTCTGCTGAATACTTTGAAAACATCAAAATTTGTGATTTTTCTGTTTGTTTAAAATCGATTTTTGCTTATACCTTACCTTTAAGTAAATTTGTGTAGGCAAAAATTTAGGTCATTGTTCGGCCCTACATTCAGTGGAAGATGTTATTAAAAACTAACATTGTTTAGAACCAATGTAAGTACCAAATTCGATTGTTTTTAAAGTTCTAGATGTTTCCGTCAGGTTAGTGGCCAAACAAACGCAGGAATCTAATATTGTTACAAACTCACCCCAACAGTTGCTGTATTTAGGTTCAGTTGTTTTAAATAAAAGAAGAAAGATGCATTCTTTTTATGCTGCAAACAGATTTTTTGATGATTTTTTAAGCAGGCTATACTACAGTAAGAATTTGGTCGTTGGAATAGGAAGTATACAGACAATACAAATTCTTCTTTTTCTGAAATGAATTTGAACACTGATTGTAATGAAACATTTTTTTTTCAACATTAAGCAAATTACTAAAAATTTACCTATAACAAATATCGATCAAAATAAATTAACTAGTTTGGCATCACACTATATTATTTCAGGTACAAGTAAAGAAGTCTTAGAAAATTTAAGTCCCGATCTTTTTTGTCTAAAATTATTGTCAAATTATTATTATTGTTAGTTTTGTTAAAGTAGAATTTAGGAATGTACTTTTTGAGTTGTTTGTATTTATATGTTTTATCAATATAGTTGTATATGTAATATAGTTTGTACCACATTTTCTTACTCGCTTTTAAACCCCCTCCCCCTCCCCCATCCACCCCCTAAAAATTACCTCTGGGTGCGTCACTGGTAAAACTTAACATGTTCCCACCGAAGTTTAAGGAAAATTTAAATTAAACTGATTATTTCTACACTATTCCACTCTGCTCAGTAAGAATTATTTTTTTACAGTATTAAAATCACATAAGTACAATACTCCAAGAAATATGTAATAATTTTATCCTCTAAGTGAAACTGAAGGTCGCTTTGATGAATGCCTAATTTCACGGTTTTTCGATATTTTACAGCGTGTAGAATACGAAAATGTCGGTCCTGTTTCCGTTTGTCTGTTAGCTGGAAATTTTACAAGACAGATAATAATCTCCGGAATTACTGAACTGAGTACCGTGAAATTTTCGGTGAGTAGGTTTAATTAAAGTCAATCTTTCTTAAAATTTATATTGTGACATGCTTCTTTATCTTAAGTACCTATATAAACAAACAACCGTGGGATGTAGATGACTTCAGTTCGATTTTTTTTGCAAAAAAAAAAACAAAATCAACTGTCTGATTATCCTCTGCGGTGTTTTAATGATTTTAGGTTACAAAAAACATTCTGTTAAAAAACCAACACATGAATGTGATACAAACTTCAGCCAAATAGTATTTTTGAAATTTGCATAACTTTTTTGCATAATTTTTTATTTTTATGTTGACGTCACATCAAAATTGTTCATAGTAAATGGGTCTTAAATTGTATAAAATAACATAGTTCTACACGTGTAGTTTATGAATCCGTATTAAGTTTTTAGCCGAGATATCCAGATTTTTGGCAAAAATCAAAAGTATAACAACTAGGGATGTACCGACTAGTGGCCGACCGGTCGGATAAGCCGACTATTCGGCCGTTTTTCATCGTCGGCTGCAGTCGGCGACTAGTCGGCTAAACAGCCGATCGGTCGGCTTTTTTAATTAAAATTAAAATAGTATATAAAACAATTAAACCCGGTTTACATAACGTCAATTAAATATTTAATTGCGATTTAATTTTTAACCCCGCGTTAAAGTACCATGTGACCGACTCTACGCCAATCAGACGTCGCTAATGGCGTTGTTAAATGCGCGATCAACTTAATCTCAGTTAAAATATTGTATAAACTGGCCCCAAATTGCGTAATTCTTTATTTTTGTACTGAGTTACTAAAAAAAAATAAATGTTAAAATTATCCAAACAAATTTAACAAATTTTTTGGAAAACAAAGGAACTTTAGTTATTCCTTTTATTAAAATAAAACAAATCTTTAAGGTAGTCAGAGAAATAGAAAAAAAAACACACTGTTTGTCGCATTTATAAACCGGTTTTAGCAAAGCCGAACAGTCGGCCGACTAGTCGGTTTTTACTGGCCGAATAATCGGCTAGTCGGTTAGTCGGCCAGACCTACAGTCGGTACATCTCTAATAACAACATTTTGCAGTTTAATTTTTAATCTACAAAACTGAATGCTTTGAAATGTTACAGACGTTTTATAGTTATTGTAAGCATTGTAAATTTTTGAACAAAAAATTGATGACGTCATCTCAAAATTTAGCCGATTAAGTCCTACTTAAAATGGACAAACTATGTTGAGTCTACACTTGCGATTTATCAGTGCCTTCATATTTCTGAGAATTCCTTATATTCCTGAGATTCCATTAATTTTAATAATAATGAAAAAACTTTCAGAGTTTAAAAAATATATTTGTAGTCACTGCTACACGTGTTTCGGTACACAGTACCGTCTTCAGGCAGAAGAGAAACTGAAGACGGTACTGTGTACCGAAACACGTGTAGCAGTGACTACAAATATATTTTTTAAACTCTGAAAGTTTTTTCATTATTATTAAAATTAATATGGAGTTTAAACACGTATCAGCCTCATCAATACAAACATTCCATTAATTGTCCCGAAAATTTGGAAATACAATATTTTTCATATTTTCGAAGTTTATGCACATATGGCCCAATAAAAAACACGTAAAATTGTAGAGAACAATTTTATAAACTGTGTGAGCCTCGAATTTTTTGAATTTTAGTAAGGCACTGACTAGTTTGCGCTCAACTGCCTGTGACATTAGGAACACCGATCGATTTTTTTTTTACCACGGTGCGCAACTGACCCAGGCCCGTTATTTCTTTTTGTTTTTTTATTTATTTATAATTTAGCTAATCAACTCGACCTACTTACAACGCTAACTAATATGTATTGTTTTAGCCATTAAAAACAATTAACAATTTTTTTTTTGTACCTATCCTTTAAAAAACTGAGGATATCGTTTAAAAACTTATTAAATACTTAAATATTTGTTAACATGTATGCTTTGAAATTAGGTCTTATTAGAATTTTTCTAATGTGGTTTTTGTTTTCACGAGTCTTACAGAGGTGACCAAAAATATTTCAAGTATAATTCGTTGTCTTGTATTAGGTGCGTACATAATATATCAAAATGAAAGTGTCTATGAATCATGACTAAATAAATCTTGATTAAAAAAAAGCTGTAATATGTATGCAGATTAGTTGTATTTCAAAAGCTCTCTTTCAATAACTTTACTCCAGTTTTGTTAAGTTAAAAATATCGTTGAAAGTAAATCAAATAAAAAAGCATGTCCTGTGTATCAAATTTGACAATATGACTGTCATATTTTGAGAACAGAGTTAACAATTTGGATTTTCCCAAACCACCGGGAAGAATTGATACAAAACATTTCAGATGCAATGCAATCCTGTTAGAATGTGTGCAGAGTCTCCCAAGTCATTGATTCAGCTGACGTTACAATAAAATGTTAACTTTTGTGGAGGTAAAATTTCCTGCTCTACGACACTGTTTTCAGTCACATTTTAGAAATTTCAATTTTGGAGTTCACGAAGACCAAATTTTAGGCATGTCCAAATGTAGCAGTTTTCAACGGCCGCCACTGTGCTGTAAAAAGACTTTCTGACAGTACCGCATATCTCATAAATTTGGTTGAAGAAGTGTGTGTAAAGTGAAGTATAACATGGTGAAATGAGATTAGGCTTCCAGATAAAACGTCAAATTCTAATCTTTTAATTTATTCACCTCAACCACTGAAACTGACACTGACAGTAGCAATTTCTAAAACGAAGAAGTAGATAATCTACTAGTATTGTGGCGGTACCAGGTATTCGTCACGGATGTCAATGTCACATTACTAATAAATATTACCTATATGATATTTCTGTTACGACGCTTGTTCCGATTCTTTTTTGAAATACTTACTTTGGCATGTACCTTATCTATTGATTGGTGTTTTTTTCTAAAAATCATATCAATAATATCCACTCGTGAAAATTTATTATAACAATTCTGACAACACTGTTAAAGTCGCAGTTTTTCAGCTTAACCACCAAACAGACTTAATCCCTTTAAAAGTCTCTGACTCAACGGATTAGGACTACCCGTCAGTTCGACCACCACTAATAACCCTGGGAAGGTACAAGGGTAGCGACTAATTTTGATTGACAGTTGTACACAGGTACAGCTTCGAAAGCGACTGGAGATTTTACAGCGGCAATACTCACAGGCGCGGATACAGGATTTCGTTTAAGGGGGGGGGGGGGGCAATTTTTGTGCGATTTTACATATCTCCCAGAAATTTGTTCTAAACAAAAAAATTTATAAAACTTTAGCTAGTTTACTCTTTTTCACATAACATGGGTGACATTTGGTTGTTTTCGTTACAGGTATAGTGTACAGTAGAACCTCAATAATCCGAATTAATTGGCAAAAAGGTGTGTTCAGATTAACGATTTGTTCGGATCAGCGATTTTCCCAAAAATCTGAAAGGGAATTGAATAACAACTTCATACACAGTTGAAAACAAACTTCA